CATCTCTGCATTTTCAGCACAAATCCAAAACACAGTCCCACATTAGGTACTATGGAGAAAATCTATCCTAGCCAAAACCAGCAAAATACCTAAGCAGTTCTGTAAGGTTAAAACTCATCCCAAATAGTGCTTTAAAATAGGACAAGAGGAGAGAGCAGATCCTTACTGTAGTGATTCATTGTTTCCTCAGAGATTAACAAAGCTATACTTGTTTATTCCAGCTAGGGAACTCTGCACAGCTGTTTTGAACTTTGTGACTGGAACAATGTCTCTTACTTTGAATTGTAAGATCTCTGACATGGATGGTGTTTAGGTGTCCAACAGCTGTGACTTAAAGCTCTTCATTTTCTCATTTAAAATCAAGACCCTCAACAGTTTTGGAAGGTAATTGATGTTACATCAAATGAGTAAATGAGTAGAAAATGAGTAGCCCATCTGGTTACTTATGACTGCGGCTGTAGCACAAGCTGAGTTCCTTTTTAGAGGAATGGCATGCCTCATGAATTTGTTAGAGTTCTTTAACAACATTGCTGAACATAGGAACAAGGCAGAGCCAGTTAAAATAACCTGGCTTTCCAAAAGGCTCACATCACGGTCTCTCTCAAAAGAATTTTAAAGAAAATAAGCTGCTGTGACATAAGAGTAATATGGTGAATAAATACTAAGACTGAAAGATCGATAACAAAAGGTAAAGAATAGTCAGCTTTCACAGTGAAAGGATTTTTCAGTCTCTGTTTAGGGCCTTCATAAATGAACTTGAAAGGAGTAGTGGCCAGTGAAATAATACTGGTCTTCAGAGAGATAAAGCAGTGGTGAAGAGTTTGAGATGTATCTTATATTGCTGAGATGCAAAATGGAAGCTGAATTGCAGTACTGCTAGGCATAAAGGAATGTGTATAAGGAAATAATCCTAACAACCAATGTGATGGTGGTGGTCTCTGGGCTAATTATTTCTGAGGGAAGACATCTTGTTTGGAATAGAGTATATGAAAGTATCAGGTGAGTCATGGTGAACAAAATAATGAGCTGCTACTAGTTACTAGAAAAGGAGAACAAAATGAAAATGTCATTCTGAACTATCCAAGGTGAATCCACTTCTTGAATGTAGAGTTTTATATTTTTTGGGATAGAAAATTCAGTAAAGAAAAAAAATTGGATTGTGAATCGGTTGAAAGGAAGAAGTCAGAGAGTTGTGGTCAATGAGACAGAGTCTAGTTGGAGACCTGTGTCTAGTAGAGTCCCTCAGGGGTCAGTACTGGGACCAGTATTATTCAATATTTTTGTCAGTGACCTGGATGAGGGAATAGAGTGCAC